ACTATAAGATTTAATTTGTATTTTAAACAAATCTCATTAGATGTATTCATAATTTGGAAAATTCAGTGGTGCATATCCTTGCTAAAGTGTGTACCATATATACTTTTAGTTACGGGAAAAATTATATTTCCACACACCTAATTATCTCAGTGCACACACTTCATGAAATATATTTTAATGACAATTATATCCTAAACTAAAATGACCACAATGGATATCCACTAACACTCATAATATTATATGAAAATATTATTTGTACACATCTTTTAAAAACAAAAAAATCTCAATGTATACCTTTTGAGTTAAAAAAAAAAAAAAACCATTTTTTTATTATTGTCACTTTGCTTGCACTCTATACTTCTTTATTGCTTGCAAAACAATATTCTCATAACAACTCTCATATTGTTTTAATCTTTAGATTTATATACTATTAAGTCTCATTTGGGAACATACTATTTTAGTTACTTTTTGACTAAGATATAAGATAAAAAAAACTTGTATATTTTGGAATGACTTTTTAGTTTTTTACAGAAAAAATGTGCAAAACATATAGAGAAAATAGAATATTTGATTTTTTGATATAGGTTATAGGTTTTTTAATTTTTTTAGTAACTTTTTTACTTTTAGGCTAAAACAATTACTTCCCAAACGAGGCCTTAGTAATGAAAATGTTAGTTTTTTTTTGTACAATTTTTTTTTTTCCCTTTTGTGGTTTTCAGTCAAACAACTAATGCTAAATTATTTCATTATATTTAGACATCAACTGCTGAAAGTTTTTTTTATATGTTTTTTGGGAATAAATTTGTCGAACTAATCACTTTTATTCAGAAGGTAAGTGTCGAATTAAAAGTATAATTTCAAAACATCAGTGCCGAAATCCCTCAAATCGAAATACATTAATAATAAAAAAAAAAGAGAGGGTTTTATGGCAATGGAGTGCATAGAGATCTGATAATGGTAAATGCAATAACAAAATGGAAATATGCCTCATTTTCAACAATATTTTGGAGTTTTTAATAATGTTTTTAATGGAGGTTCAATAGGATCTTCAATAGAGGACTTTGTCTTCACTTCACACTGTGATCTTGAATGGTTTTCACGTGGGTCTACAATTGGTCTACAAATTTGAAAACAGGCTCACTCAATAAGTGTATAAAAAGGAGGGTTGAGTGAATGGTATAATTGTAACTTTTAGTGTGTGAATTGAGAAATAAATATGTTTATTGAGAGAAGATGTTCACTGATGTAATTAGAATAATACTGTTTGTACAAATTAATATACTAACTAGTATATTAATAGATGATATGGTATAATTTTAGAAGTTTTGGATATTTGTAATTTGTATAATAGGTAGGGTGTCACGACCCAAACCCGCCCCAAGAAGGTTGGCATCGAGACCGGCCAGTAATCCTAGATTACCACAGGCCTTTCTGTACAAACATACGTAACCGGGGCTTGCGGAAGCGAAAACAAAACACTAATAGTCCAAAGAGCTGTGCATTTATATGAACATACATACATGCCAAAAATGTTAATTTACCCACTACATTACATCACATACAATAAAAGATCATATACAACACATAGGCTCACGCCTCATGTACAACCAAAACCAAGCTTCCTAACGGCCTTCTGGGCCTAGCCCCAACTCGGAGGCACCAAAACACCGGGTAGGCTTCAAAACGGCGGCTCAGCTCGGACTCCGCCTAGGCTTGACTCCCAGAGTGCTCACCTATAATGCATAATTACAAACAATGAGCTAGAGCTCAGCAAGTAACATAACAGTAAAGAGGTTAGTGAACGAAGTCCGACATTTTCATAAATCCACAATAAATCAATCATAAACATATATCAGTCATCAGTCATCATAAGAACATACGTAATGGCATACTCCACAGAACCTTTCATAACAGTCTATCAGTCAACAGTCTACGAGATCTCGTAACTAGTCATGGGCTTGTCCTTCCATGCCGTTCCCCATGACTCATGACGCATGGGCCTACATGTTCCCGCCCCCATGACCCAACTATCTATGGATGCCATACTAGATTCGCAAATCAGGACATTCATTCACGGAAAACATTCTCATTTCAAAGCATAGCATAACGTAATACATTTAAAACATAGTTCATAATAACATATCTTTACATAAACTTCAATGCTTGTGCCGTCTCCTCTAAAACAAAAAAATCCTTCCTCCCTTTCTATGTGGATGCAAGAGAGGAGACATGGGGATGGAGAGGGAATTTGGATTTGGAAAGAGCCCAAATAATGATCAAACAAACAAGATATATTAGATTGTTTTGCTTTCTTCAGTACACATTATCATTAAATCACTTAATTCATGCCATTCTCTCATTTCCTTATGAAATTTCATGTTTATAAGATGATAAATGATTCAATTAACATGTTAAAATCAAGTCTGCAACTTCTCCAAAATTTTCTTGAAAAAAGCCTTCCCGCTCGAGCGCCACTTTGGCCGCTCAAGCGTACTGTAAAAAGTCCCAAAACTGCTGGGAGGCTGTTTTTCACGCTCGAGCGGGAATCCCTCCGCTCGAGCGGACCATGCAAAAATCCGAAATTCTGAAACCTTCCAAAGCTTGAATCTTTCCTTTTTTTTGCAAAACCACTTCCACACGATGAAACCCAAGTCTCAAAACACTTGAAACACAACTTGAATTACACATTATAGCTTCTAAACAAACCCAAATGCATCATATACAAGATCAAACCATGAATTGAGGTGAATAATCATAACTATTCATGTAAAAGCTTCATTTCTTCATATCCATGGAGGTTCTTCCTCAAGAATGCCAAATATAAACATAAATCATCTATTCATGCCATACATGCTCAAATTAAACATATTTCTCCTTTCAATCCTCTTATTTGACACGAGATCATTGATGATTCAACCTTATTTCAAGAAAGTAGAGAAGAAATTCTTACCTTAAGCACTTAATTGGAGAAGTTGTAGCTTGATTCCCCTTTTTTCCCCTTCTTCCCCTTTCTCACGAATTCTCCTCTCTCTCTTTCTAGATTTTTTCTTTTCTTCTCTTTTGAGGCAAAGAGTCAACATCCTTATCTATGTATAGATATATCACACAAAAAAAACTAGAATTGTGCCATAATCTTGAGCCAAACATGACTTAGCGATTCAGACGAAATTCAGTCCTCAATTTATTTTCCCAAATGGTTCTAATAATTCCCGGTATCTCATAGACGCGCTCAATTTTGTTTTCTGAACCCATTACGGTCATCAATTTCAGTCCCAAAGTTCTCATCTCAACAGATATTCTTCTAATTCAAACAGATATTCTTCAATTAATTCGCATAAACACATAATTAATTACTGATAAATATGACACATGTTTTGGGGTCATTACATGGGGTCAGTAATAATGACATAACACTAGTTGGTACACTACTATATACATTAATTGGTGATGTAAAAATAGAATTTCTCTTAGTTACGACTTTCGAGTTAATGTTTATGACCTAGTGTGTCATTAATTATGATACATTGCGATGTTAGTTATCATAAAATTTTAATTATGCTATTTAGTTATAACTCAATTTCTTTTAAAAAAAATTATGACCCTCATAATATTAAATTATATCATTTATAATAATCAACCTCACAAATACAAATGACATAATTTGCATATTTTACCCACCATAGTATTTCCCTTATATATTTTACCGTTGTGTTTTTTATCTAATCCAATAGTGTAATAGTGGTCCTGTTTGGGAAAGAATATTTTGGTTCGATAAAATATTACTAAACCACGAAATAAATTAAAATAATTAATAAAATAAAATATTTTATCAAATTTATAATTATTTTTTTTCTTCATAAATATTACATCTAATTATAATAAAAAAATCCAACTTTCTTCTTAAATATAATTTAAACAGTCAAAGATTAAAATAACTTATTAAATCACCAACTTTACAAACAATCTCTGTATGTAAAATAGAAAAAGACAAAATAGATTTTTTTGAAAAAATAATTAAAAATTGATTTTTTAATTTTTTAATTTTATTTAAAAAAATATATAAAAAATATAAAAAATAATATGACTCAAAATATGTTAAGAAGCTGAGAAGTTGTTATCAACCCATATACAAAATAGCCCAATACAAGAGAGACGCAATATTAACGGGAGGTTCTATTTGCATACACCATTACATTCTATACACATCTGTGTGGGTGAAAATCTGACCACATTGCCCGCCTAGTAATCAGCTGGAGAGCACCGGCAGAATAGATGGCTTTAGCAAACCTGTAATAGAAAGAAAAAGCCTGTAATAGAAAGAAAAAGCTCCGGCGGTGGCTTTTTCACCCGGGGACACTCCGACGATCAAGTCAGTATATCTCTCAAAGATAATCAAGTGCTAAACTCACAAGCTTAAGCATAAAACTGCGTACCTTAGACCCACGGGGTGCCTCTCTTTTATAGTTTACTCAATCCAAGTCCCACTAGAAGCCTGACTTCTATGGACTCCAATTCAGTGGTTACTTTGGATTCCTCAAGAGATAAAAATAAACTCCCTAAGAGTTTTATCCTTATCTTAGCAAAGTTTTCTCTTTTCTCTAGGACTCTTGTTCCTTATCCGCTTATCTCGGATTCCGATATCTTCGGAGATAACCTCGGCCTTGACGAGATAACCTCGGCGTCACAACCTGGACACGTGGCACTTCGGCTGACACGTCGGCGTCACCTCGCCACATGTTGGTATTCAGAAAATACATCCCCACAACATCTTTTTTAATAAATAATTGGTTTAGAAGTAGCATTCTGAAAATAAGCAATTGATTCGGAAGTAGCTTTTCAAAAATAAACAATTGATTCAGAAGTAGATTTTCAAATTTTTATCATTTTTTTGACATTTAATTTCTAAATGTGTTTATTTGATATTCATAATAATAACTCTACTTCAAAAAAAAATTATAATAAAAATAATTTTTATGAAGTCTGTGCAAAGTGGGGAACGGGACGTGTGAATAGAAGCTCCCAATATGTACGTACGTATCAGAGATATGTAGAGAGAGTTTTGTGGATCTCATCCAGTTCGTATACAAAACCTCAGACAATCGTCGATTTCAACCTCGGAAACCCTAGATATCAATCACAATGAACGCCCAAACCCAACAATTCCAGATCTTCATTGAATCCCCAGAACTCCAAATCCCAACTCGTGCCCTAATCCTAGACCCCAATCTCACTCTACGCAACCTCAAAATATCTCTCTTCCCCAAATCCCAAAAAGCCCTAGACTCTCTCTTCTTCTCCTTCAATGGCCAACCCCTCTCCGATTCAATCACCCTCCAAAATTCCCCAATTACCCCCCTCTCCACCCTCATCCTCCGCCTCCGCCTCCGTGGCGGCGGTGGCGATGGCGGCGCCACCGGCGCCGAGTCCCGGGACTGTTATCTCAACATGTACGCTGTGAAAAAGCCCGATAAAGTCGATCCGAACGAGCAAAGATTGTCGAAATGGTTGAATTGCGCTCTCTCGAACGAGCCTTTGAAGCATCCAGTGGTTGTTGATTTGCTTGGGAATTTGTTCAATAAGGTGACTCTTGTGGAGGCTTTGTTGGGGAAGAAATTGCCGAAAGCTTTTTCGCATATTAAGGGTTTGAAGGACATGATCGCGATTCAGCTTTCGCCGATTCCTGGGTTGGAATTGGATGGTGGTGATGGTGTGATTGATGGGACAAGGTTTCAATGTCCAATTTCGGGTTTGGAGTTTCATGGGAAGTACAAGTTTTTCGCTTTGAGGACTTGTGGGCATGTGTTGAGTGCCAAGGCTTTGAAGGAGGTTAAGTCCTCGGCTTGTCTTGTTTGCCATAAAGAGTTTTCGGAGAGCGATAGGATTGTGATTAATGGGTCTGAGGAAGAAGTGGCTGTTTTGAGAGAGAGGATGGAGGAGGAAAAGGCGAAATTGAGGGAGAAGAAATCAAAGAAGGTGAAGAATGGGGAAGTGGGTGTCAATGGGGAGGTGGGTTTTTGTTTGGATTCGTCACGATTGAGTGGCACAAAGCATGGCATTGATGTGAAGGATTTGCCAAAGGACAAGGCCTTGGCAAAAGTGGAAGGAAATGGGAAGGTTGCTAATGGTGGGGTGGCTGTGAAGGGTGCAAGTAATGGCTCGACAAAACGGTTCAAGGCGGGTGATATGGCACCGGCAAATGCTACTAAGGAAGTGTATGCATCGATTTTTACCTCGTCCAGGAAGTCTGATTTTAAAGAGACATATAGTTGCAGATCTCTCCCTCTTGGTAGAAACTGACTGAAGATATTGTGAGTTGATCTCTTAATGTTTGGCCTAGCCCTATTATGTAATTGGCAGTTAGCATTAACAAAGAAAAACATATGTTGTGTTTTTTATATTTTCAGTTGTTATTGTTTGCTAAAAAAAAATGATGATGCTTTAGCTGTGTAAAATATTGATTCTGATTGTTAACAAAACATTGCTTTATCAGGTTTGGTGCTTATGTCAATGTATTTTTTTGCTTGGTTTAGGATTCATATGTCTTCTTTCTTTTTTCCTTGTTCATAAAAGAACTAAGACTTAGTTCAACTTTACAAAGCTTTATTTTTGACTTAAGGTTATATTAGTTGCTAAAATCCGAGGGTTAAAGTTTTACTCTTGATAAATGACACTGCTTAATTGAAAAGAGAAACATGAAAAAAAAAAAAAGCTTGTAAAATATTTTCAATCAATCTCAAGAAACTATTGAGAATAATTTATAAGCAAGTATCAACCCCTACTTATGTCGTTATGCATCTTCCTCAATAGATATATATTGTGCTTGACCACCATCCAACTATTCAAGTATGTTAGGCTGTTGCTGAAATGGCTAATGGATGCTTGTACACGCCGGGATTTCCCTTGGTTATTGATGTAATTGTGCAATTCTGATTTTCTCCTTGCTTCCAAATTGACACTTGTAAAGTTGTGTGGCAGTTCTTTTATCTCTTTTCTGTTTCTCCTTTCCTGTGTGGAATATCTTTATCTCTTTTTAGTTTCCTCTACTGTTTACTTTTTAGATTGGCCTGACTCTCCACATCTCTTCGAACTTGAGATGCGGCCTGTTTACAATTTGTCAAGAATATGACCACATACAGGGGTTCCCTTTTAATGTGCTGGATTGGTAAGACCAGTGAACTGATAATATTATTTACTGAGTGGGTGCAGAAGCTAGAGTATCACAATCGAAACCAAAAAAAAATAAAAAATCCCATAGATTTGATCTATGAATTTTGGATGACTGTCGTTATATTTCAGTGATGCAGGTTTGGGCTTTCTTACCCATGCCTATACTACTCTCTAAACTCCTATAAGTTGCATCTAAGGGGCGAGTGCTTGTAGGTGAATAAAAAAAAGAAGTTTGCTTTTGGGGTGGGGTGTTTACTTGCTGCACAGCAAAGGTCTGTTATGTGGACCATCACTTGGATATTTATGAACTCTCTCTCTCTCTCTCTCTCTCTCTCTCTCTCTCTCTCTCTCTCTCTCTCTGGGGGGCTGTTGTTAGAGGCAAATAAATATGCACGAGTCATTATTATGGATTTCCCTGTTAATGATTTGGTAACAGCTGGAAACAGTTTTAGGTATGAAATTCACGTTAAATGACGGGAATAAAAAACACGAGTGATTTTTGACAACTTAGGCCTCGTTTGGGAACAGACTAATTTAGTAATTTTTTGGCTATTTGGCTAAAAAGGTAAGTAAAAAAAACTTGTATGTTTGGGATGACTTTTTAGCTAATTACGAAAAGATGTGCAAAAAGTAGAGAGAAAAGAGAATCTGTTAGAGGCAAATAAATATGCACGAGTCATTATTATGGATTTCCCTGTTAATGATTTTGTAACAGCTGGAAACAGTTTTAGGTATGAAATTCACGTTAAATGACGGGAATAAAAAACACGAGTGATTTTTGACAACTTAATTTCATGAAATGGCTAATGATTGAATGGAAATACATGAATTAATCTACTGTTTAAAACTTTTTGATTGGAATTGAGTAGATATGTAAAAAATACAGCTACCTTTATTGCTTGAACTTGGTCGGGGAATATTTGTTATGGATTCATGGACAACTTAAAACTTTTCACGCAAAGGTAAAAAGTGTCTGGTGAGAACAAAATTGTGGTTTACATGCTTTATGGTAAGTGGCAATGCATATGAATGGTCAAAACTAACTTTATTTATGACACTTGTCCTTTTTGGTTTAGGTTAGACTGCTTAAAACTTCTTAATACGGATTCAGGAGATGCATGCTAAGGACTTTCGCTATCAGCTGAAATGTATTTATAAGTGTCTAGAAATCTGTTAGTGATGTGGCCACATTGTATGTATAGGTTCTCTCCCTTTCTCTTTATCATGTTCTATAGTTTTATTATTCAATTTTCGTATATATTAATTTGAAGAATTCCAAAGTTCAAGAAAAGGTACTTATATCTGTGATTGTCGGTCATACTAAATATTTTATGCAAGCTTCCCCTTTTAAAGGAGAAAAGCATGAGCGCATCCATAGCTTAGTGCTTAGCAAGGTGATTAGTTGTCTCTTTCTTCTCGTGATAAGACTCCATCTATTCTCTTCTATCTTGGTAAAAATTGAGTGTCAATTTATTTGGGTAGCAAGACTTAAAACTAATATGCTTTCCTGCCATTAGAGTAGGGCATGCATCTCCAACTTTCAACTTTTGTATGGCGAAGATCCTATATTTGCACTTTTCATGGATGCGACTCTGTTTAATTTTCTTGTAGTGGAATTATAACTAAAACAAATCCTTAGCATTGAAACGCGCACACAAACAAACTTTTTACTGGCTAAAAGGCCCTTCCCCTTGCATCCCTTCCAGCTCAGTAAGTCAGCCCGCTTGATTATTCACTCCCATCCAATAGTTGTCATACACAGTTGGTCATTCTATCTTGGTGAAAAACCAGTTATTCCAACTTGAATTCCAAGGAGAAGCTGGTTGAGTTTCACCAAGTCAGGATGCTGAAATATGCTGCCAGTTGAATATCCCTTCCCCATCTTTGTTGACAAATGTCTTGGTCATTCTATCATGGTGTGCTTTTCTCCATCTCCATTCTCCACTCATCAAAATGCCTGCCAATCCTAATAACTTTCAAAGAGCACTGAAGGCATATTTGAAAGCTCATAATAAGGCTAAGAGTGGTTTGCTTTTTTTTGGCTGGCTTGAAGGATTTTGTTGACAAACATGGTGAGGTGACACTCTGATAGTACTTCAACACCACTCAATGGTTATATGGGTATCGAAAGAATGCAATGACACAATCAACAGGTGTGCCCTTTTGTGTCTGGTATTGATCTACTGAGAAAATTACACTCCCAAGTTGTTACCATTACATGCTCGGGACATATGGAATCATGCTGTTAGCTTCTCATATCCTGTCAACCATTGTCTCTATTTATCTATTCCATTGGGCTTGTGAAGAACAGAAAAGGTATTCTATAATTTTTGTATGTTACTTTGCTGGTGAATTCTCTTGCTTTTGCTTTTGTTAATTGGGAGTTTTGGCATGGGAGGTACAAAGCTGTTTTGATCCTTGGTAGTTTATGCATGGACTTCTTCATGTTTTTTCTTGTCACTCAAGTTGGTTTGGGAATTCTCTCTCGGCTTCATGATGATTTTAAGGTTATGTATCCGAGGGAGAGGCTTTTCGTTCCTGGTTGCCATTTGTTGCCTTTGAATTGCTATTTATGGCGGTTGAATTTGTGAAGTCCAGGAGGAAATTGCTTCTTTACAGCTGAATGTGCCTATCTCCCATGTCTTTCTGCGTGAAGACTTGAAAGACCATGGGAGGGGAGATAGGGTCCGTATCAAGCGTCTTAGTTAGCATATTAAACCCATGTTTTGCTCTATTTTTTTGGTTCTCTGTTGGATCTCTGTCATGTTACATAGTTGGCAAATGTGAAGTTTTTTGGGTCGTAGTCACCTAGATAGATAGATTGGTACAGATGATATGATTTTTTTTTTTTTTTATAATGATTTTGTATGTTTTACGTTAAAAGAATAGAGTTTGAGGCTGTTGTTCCAAAAATTTTAAAATTAGAGTTATGGCCCGAGTGTTTTTTTTTTTCATTTCCCTTAACAAATATCTCTTTAAATTTAAGATTTAAATAGTCTTAATGACTAATTCAATCAGGACAAGTATAAACTTAAACATATGCAGTTTTATGCAAGAATGAAGTCATAATTTTGTTTAGAGGGCCAAGGTAAAAGTAATAATTTTTTGAAAAATAATAGTAATTATTCACATAAGTGATATGGAATAATTTGTAAGAAAAATAATAAATCTGTATCAATCATTTCTTAATATACAATTTTTTAGCTATATAATTAAGCTTTAAGTGTATAATTTATCAGAATGTCATTTTTATGATATTTTATTGGTAAATATAATTCATAAAAAAAAAAAATTTACCTGTAAAATTTTTATAATTGATAAAAACAAGTAAATGACATTTACTTATCAATCAATAAAATTGATGCTATTACATAACAAGTGAAATAGTTTGTGCCATATTGTAGGAATATTCATCAAAAAAAATTTTTGTAACAACTTGGGAGAACTAAAGTACATTATAAAAACCTAGAGCTTCTCTCTCTAACCCTTTCTGCTTCTAGGGTTTTCGTTTCTGAGCGCCATTGGAGTGGGGGAGGGGGGCTTTGGCCTCAGGCCACATCTCTCCACCTCTCTACCCCTTTTTTCTTCAGTTCCCTCGGCCTTTTTCTGGTCAATAAGCTTTGGAAGCTTAGATTTCCATCTTCTCTCTCCTTGTGAGGTGTTTTTTCCGCTTTCGGTGGATTTAGTCTGGTTTTCTTCACTCCTCCTTTCCTCTGCCTTACCCCAGCCGAAGTCTTCACCAGATCCGTTGGCTCCATCTTCTTAGCTTCACGCCGACGTCGCCACCATCACATCGACACCATATCTACCTTCTCTTGCTGGATCTGCTGCCTCCACCATCTGGCCTCCTGGGTTCTCCTCTTCCAACCCATTTGGTGTAGATTTGCTACAGATCTGCTACCGATTCAGTCGGCGGTTGAGTTTATGGCTTTCTTTTTGTTATTGTTTTTATTTTAGTTTGGTTTTGTTTGAGGAATCCATCTGTGCGTAGTGTTGCTTACCCACTTTGTGGATGTATTCTATGATCTATCCGCGGCATGCTCTACGGCCGTCTGTTGGCCTTTGCTTGCAGTACGAGCACAAGCATTTGTTGTGTAGCTGGGCTGTAATAACCCGACCCTCGTCTATGATTCTGGTATACTTTCAATTCCCTTATTCTGTATATTTATATGCTTATTGTGAAATTCCGTGTGGAATTACGGTTAAGTAAGTAAATCCCCTATTTAAGGATGTCTATCTGCTGAGCAAGAAAAGTATCTGTTCCATGTAGAATGTTTAAAGCAGAAATTGGAAGCCTTAGGGACTTAATTATCTGAAATTGATGTTATATATGTGATCAACATAATTTTTAAGTAATATTAA